CAATTTACCAGCTTGGGTGAGACAAATTTTACAAGGGCTGCTCCAAGAGGCAAGACCAGAGGCAGCCATCAACTCTATAGCACCGTAGCAATATAGACTCCATCATTGATCTGATCTTTATCATTGTGTGAACGTCTCCTAAACATGTGCCAAAAAGGTTGGTTCTACTGAGAAAGGCAGGGCGCCAGAACCCTGGAACGGCAGCACCAGGAACAGCTCCAACAGAGAATCAAAATCCAAGTGTCTCTTTCAAGTGGGGCCTCAGATAACCTCCCTAAAGTCTTTTAACTAGTGGCTTTATCTATTATTGAGTGCAGAGAGCGGCCTGCTGAGAACAGCTGCCTATGAAATATTTAAGGATTAAAAAATAGGCCTCCTCTGTGGCAAAATTAAATGGAACTTGCGGCTTCAGAAGCGCAGGAAGAAGGCAAACCCTCAATCAGCCATGCCATGTAATCCTGAATCATTTAAAATCCACCCTCTTAGAACTTTCTCAAGGGGGAGGAAAAAAAAATTCACGTTTTTTTAACCTGCTTTCATGTTGTTGTTTTGCCTTTCCAAGTTTGAAGTCTCAGTTGAGTTGATTGAGGTAACCTGAGGTGGCCCTGAAGCTTAGACACTGGGCGGGCCAGAGGTCTAAGGCAGGTTCTCTGTTTGCTGTATAGGGCATGAGGATTGGCTCATTGGGTGCATCTAGACTACGTTCTTTCGAAAGGAGATATGCAAATGTGGTGCTAATTTGCATATCTTCCTCCGATCGCTTTTTTGAAAGCTTTTTTTTTTTCCCGAAAAAGAAAGCAGTTTAGATGCAGTTCTTTCGAAAAAGGGGTGGTTTTTTTTTTCAAAAGAACCATGTCTAAACTGCTTTTTTTTTCGAAAAAAAAAATGCTTTTGAAAAAGTGATCAGAAGAAGATATCCAAATTTGCATATCTCCTTTCAAAAGAAGAACATAGTCTAGATGTACCCACAATGACTTTTGGAGATGTAGTGAGTTTACATGCTGGCCTCTCCACTCTCAGGTGCCTAAGTTCACGCTACAAGTCTTGAGTTTGCTTACAGCGAGAGGAAAGCCTAGCGAGATGGGACAGTCTTATGATAAAGCCGTGGGGATTCAGGCAATCTAGATTCTTACGGGATCCTAGGATGTATCTGGAGAGAGATTTCCAGTCGAGCTGGGGAAGCAGCAATGCCATAGCATGGGACACTGCTCAGACCTCTGGAAGATGGTGAAAGTTCTGGTCACCGATGTTCAACAAGGTTGAATTCGGACAGGAACCAGTTCAGAGATGGGCCACTAGCAGGATCAAGCGAAAGGAGAGCTCATCTCACGAGAAGAGACTGAAAGCGCTTGGCTTGTTTAGCCTTGCAAAAAGAAGGCTGAGAAGGGGTCTCTATAAATGCATGGTGAGAGAAGAGCTACACAACAGTGTTGGCACAAGAACAAATGGGGATGAACTGGCTATGGATAAATTCAGGCAGGGAGTAAGATGGGTTCAAACCATTGGAGGAGTGGAGGTCTAGAACAATTTCCAACAGAGGCTGGGAGGGCAAGAACTCTAACTCATCCAAGTTGGGTTATAACCCAAGACCGCCCAACAGTAGGGCAGTAGACTTGATGACCCAGATGGTTCCTTCTAGCTCCATGTTCCTAATGCCCAGTTCTTCCACAGATTTCTTGTGTGATGTTGGGTAAACCACATAATCTGTGTGCTGGGATAATGCCACTTTATTTTTCCTCATTCTTTGTTTTGTTTGTTTAGATTGCAAGCTCTTTGGGGCAGGCACCGTGTCTTAATATGTGCATGTATTCTAGTGCGCTTAACTGGACACCTCCCGTTGATTGCATCCACCAGGTGCTAAAGAAAAATAAATTCGGCAGATGATCTGACATTTCTCCCTCTTTGAAATAACAATGCAGATGTCGACTGATCTTCCAAATTGATCACACCTTTTCAGGCATGGTGTCCAGGCTTTCAGGCATAAGGGCCAGGACTGGACTAGCATGGGAGGTGCAGAGCCATAGGGGAAAATGACAGTGACTGGCAAGGTGCAGTTAGTTGTGACTGAGATGCTTTGGCATAGCTGTGTAGTCCTGCTAAGGACTGGCCTAGGAGCGAGGCTGTAAGCCAGGACTGAATTTCACTATTTAAAGCTGTGTGCAAAGTCTGGATCTGGAATGGCAGAGGATCAGGATAGGACGTGATGTGGCTACACAGAGGAAGTTCACGTGACACCTTCCAGAGGGATCCTACCGATTCTCCACCCACTGCAGAAGTTCACACACAGCTGTAAAGAATTGTTAATGCATGTTCCCTATTCCGGCCCCCTATCTTGCCTGTGTTCTCTCTTGTGGTATGTAATGTCACAAAGTCCTCTGGAGCTGCCAGCTCCCTCCCTGTAATTAGTCAAATAAATGTTCTCTTAATTGGGGTGGAAAGATCCTCTAGCTACTTAGAAAGCGTGGACTTTATCCCTTGTATGTAATTCTAATGGCATGCTTTGCTCCTACCCCGTAATTGCAAAAGTGTGTAAGTATGACAACCCCTAACCAAGCGACTCCCCAGCATACTTGGACCTATTATTGCTGATATAAATCGCAGCCACCAGCAGAAGTTGTTTTCTCCATGACATTGCTCAGCGATGCCTTCTACAAAATGGAGGGGTTAGTAGAGAAAATTTTCTTCTGTGGCTATCTTGCTTTTCCAGCTTGACAACATGTTACTGCAGTTCATCTGGATACCAACAGTGGGCAATGCACGCCTCTCTTTGGAAATGGGCATATCTACGGGTTAGCATGTAAAGTTACGGTGGACATTTGGAGGGGGGGCTAGAATTTGAGTCCCCAGCTTTCACCAGTTGGCAGCTCTGTCAGATGAAGGAATCAAATACTTTGCACATCTCCAGCACCTTTCCCATCCTCTTTGTGAGACAGGACAGTGTAGTGAGCCCGGATTTACAGATGAAAAAACAGAGGCACACAAGATTAACTGACTTATCCAAGGTCACACAGCAAGTCAGTGGCAGAGCCAAGCAATTGCAATACAGCCCTGGCTCTCTGCTTGACGCACTCTACCGATGTGTGCCTTGGAAATATCAAAGGTGGTTAGGAAAAGATGGGTCTGCTGGTAGAGCAGTGTTCCCTATAAATTTGTTCTGTCCATGTGCAGAATAAATTTTGTTATGTGCACTAAGGCAGGTGCAGATGTGCACCACCAGTAGAAACATGCTTTAGGCAGTGGGTGCTCTATGTGCTCTGCTAATCTTCTGGGCAGCATTTGAATCTCTCCTGGGTGGCCAACAAAGTGCTTGGTTTATAGAGAACAGTGACAAGAGATTCTGGAATTTTGATATTCTGATGAAAATTTGGGGATGTTTTATTATGAAACCCCCGCCCCTCATGCACACACACATTTTTTAACTAGCTTTAGCTACCTCCTTAACGTCAAAGCACAGAAGGTATGACATATATACCTTCATAGACGCCTGACTTCCAGTGACAATTTCCAATCAGACACTCACCTAAGCTTTAAAGAAACAAAACCACATGGAAAACGTTATTCAGTTGCCAACATCTGGTGGCCCTAGTGATGAACCAGGAGGCCCCATTGCACCAGGCCCTGCACAAATGCAAAGCAAAGAACAGCGCGGTGCCCTGTGGCACTTGAACATGTTTTGGGGCATAAGCAGGCGTGGGCAAACGCTCACCTTGTCTTGCCTACGGAAGCTGATGCCCAAATAAATGTGTTAGTCTTTGAAGTGCCCCAGGACTCCTTGTTGCTTTTGCAGACACAAACGAACAAGGCGACCCCTCTGAGACTTGTCACAAAGCAAAGAGACGGTGCCTGCCCTGAAGCGCTTTCCAGTCTAAGTAGAAGAAACAGACGCGCCCCCCAGCCGTTTTCAGAAGCACGCTTTTGAATCGCAGGCTCCTTTGCATGATTATTGCTTGGAAACAACTGATCAGAAGCTTTAGTTGTAGCTCCTTATTGGACCCCAGGATATTAGGCCATGTTAGAGATCTGTGGTCCCCCAAACATATTGCGCGCACTCTTACACAGGTCAGTTGCTGATTGTACAGAGGGGCTGGGAGAAAGGAATGGTTTGCTTTAATGCTAGCATTTTATTTGTAGGAGAGATGGCGTCTATTACAATGTAGGTTGGATGTTAGGAAAAACTTCCTACCTGTCCGGGTGGTTAAGCACTGGAATAAATTGCCTAGGAGGGTTGTGGAATCTCCATCACTGGAGATATTTAAGAGCAGGTTGGACAGACAGCTGTCAGGGATGATCTAGATGGGTGTTTCTCCACCAGTGGTATGAGTACCCTCAGGGGGGTACATCAAAACAACATTTTTGTTTTAAGTTTTACAGCACTTTATTATTTTTGTACTTTTTACACTTCAAAATTTTATCTCCCGCCCGGCTATGATTCAGTTGTTTAAACAAATGTGTTGCAATGGTAGAAAAAAAAATGATGTGTCTGAAAACTGTAGGTACTGGGGGTACTTACAATTTTGTTGTTGTTGTTTTGAAAAAAGAGGTACTTTATTAAAAAAAAGGTTGAGAAACATGATCTAGATGGTGCTTGGTTGTTATTTTGAAAAAAGAGGTACTTTATAAAAAAAAAAGGTTGAGAAACATGATCTAGATGGTGCTTGGTTCTGCTGTGAGTGCAGGGGACTGGAATTGATGACTTCTCAAGGCCCCTTCCAGTTCTAGTACTCTATTACCTAATATTGGCAATACATTTTTTTAAATCTATTTACTGCTTCTTCCTTTATTTTCCCCTCCAACAACCAGGAAAGAGATTTTCCTATTTGGCATCTAATTTAGGATTCCTGCAAGAGGGTGGGTACCAAAGAAAAGCCAACGGGGTAGCCAAGACCCATTCTGCGATGATCCCCCCAACTCTTGGAGTCGGCTAGTGCCTGGGAGGCAGTGTTACTGATTCCTAACGCCAGTGGCATTAATGGTCATTGTTCGTTCTTTCTTCTTGCCAGGCTGGAATGAGCTTCTAATCGCCTCCTTCTCCCACCGTTCCATAGCTGTGAAAGACGGGATCCTCCTAGCCACCGGCCTCCATGTGCATCGGAACAGCGCTCACAGCGCAGGGGTCGGCGCCATCTTCGATAGGTGAGGGCTGATGCCGGACGTGTGGAAGGGAGCACTGGCCGAGCTGTGGGTAGGAGAAACTGGGACAGCAGAGAGCACTGCAGGTCTCAGCTAAGGCACATTGGCAGAGCTATGGGGTGGAGGTTTGTTGTCAGGTGATGGGACCACTGGCCAGGATTGTAGTGGATTGGCCAGGCTACACATCTGGAAACTTGCTGGCTATGTCACTCCAGGCTGCAGTCTCAAGTCTCTCCTTTTAAATGGACAGAAACATCCAACCTAGGATAAGGGCTGGTCTGCACTAGATGCTGGATCGGCGCTGCAGCGATCGATCCACTGACAGTTGATTTATCGTGTCTGCTTAGACATGATAAATCAACCTCTGAGTGCTCTCTCGTCAACTCCGGTACTCCACCAGGACGAGAAGAGTAGCTGGAGTTGACGGGAGAGCAGCCCCTTCTGACCTTCCCCCATGGAAGACACCATGATAGGAATGTCAACTTCACCTATGCTATTTGTGTAGCCAAAGTTGCATTGATTAATTCAATGGGATGGGAGGGGGCTTAGTGTAGACTATGCCTAACTTGTGAGCTGCTCACCTAAAGCCAATGGATACATCTTTCACGGGGCCCAGCTGGCTCAAATGCCACGAAGAGGCCGCTTCTTTATCACTTTTCACCTTTAATTGGACCCAAATATTTGATGTTCACTCTGAACCCTATAAAAGCACGCAGAATACCCAGCTGGTGCCAAGCTCCTGCCCTTAGGGCTCATGGAACCCCCTGCTTTGGCAAAGTGTTTTACCATCAGAGATGGCTGCATTGCGATCGAGTCGAGGGACTTACCTTTGCCTCGTTCGGTTTGCAAAGGAGTCCTTCTGAGCTGGGGGACGCTGTTCATGTCCTGTGAGGTCATTGGAGTGGGATCGTGGCATCGCTGCAGGATCTCCCAGGGAAAGCTGGGCAATGACTAGAAAAAGTGTAAACAGCCACACCCGCAGTAAGAACAAAGGGGATAATAAAATTTTCCAGCAGTGGCAATTACATTTGGCTTTGCCTTTCTCCAGTGACAGAGCCTCTTGCTAAACTCACTCTAAAGCTAGTGTTTATGGGCCTCCCGAAGTCTCAGAGGAACAGTAGGCACCCAGCTTGGATTATTCTTGTGCAATAGGAGAATGGTGGAGGGTACGGGGAGGGGGGGGGAGGAGGCAAATCTTCATCTGGTGCAAATTAAGTTTGCAGATGATACCAAACTGGGTGGGGTTGCGACTTCTTTGGAGGAGAGGGACATAATTCAAAATGACCTTAGCAAGTTAGAGAAATGGTCAGAGGTAAACAGGATGAGGTTTAATAAAGAGAAATGCAAAGTGCTCCACTTAGGAAGGAACAATCAGTTCCATACATACAAGATGGGAAGCGACTGTCTAGGAAGGAGCATGGCGGAAAGGGATCTAGGGGTCATAGTGGACCACAAGTTGAATATGAGTCAACAGTGTGATGCTGTTGCAAAAAAAGCAAATATGATTCTAGGTTGTATCAACAGGTGTGTTGTAAGCAAAACTCGTGAAGTCATTCTGCCGCTCTACTCTGCACTAGTTAGGCCTCAGCTGGAGTACTGTGTCCAGTTCTGGGCGCCACATTTCAAGAAAGATGTGGAGAAATTGGAAAGGGTACAGAGAAGAGCGACAAGAATGATTAAAGGTTTAGAGAACATGACCTATGAAGCCAGGCTTCATGAACTGGGCTTGTTTAGTTTGGAAAAAAGAAGATTAAGGGGGGACATGATAGCGGTTTTCAAATATCTAAAAGGGTGTCACAAGGAGGAAGGAGAAAATTTGTTCCTCTTGGTTTCTGAGGACAGGACAAGGAGTAATGGGCTTAAAGTGCAGCAGGGGAGGTTTAGATTGGACATTAGGAAAAAATTCCTAACTGTCAGGGTGGTCAAATATTGGAATAAATTGCCAAGGGAGGTGGTGGAATCTCCCTCTCTGGAGATATTTAAGAACAGGTTAGATAGACATCTGTCAGGGATGGTGTAGGTGGAGCTTGGTCCTGCCTTGAGGGCGGGGGGCTGGACTCGATGACCTCTTGAGGTCCCTTCCAGTCCTATGATTCTATGATTCTATGAAATTGGCACTGTTCCTTTGACTTCAATAGACTCTACTCCAGATCACGCCAGGGCAGGGTCTGGCCCAGGCTTTGTTTTTTAATGCTGATCCCTTGGAACTTTTGTGTCCGTGCAGAGTACTGACAGAACTCGTGTCAAAAATGCGAGACATGCAGATGGACAAGACGGAGCTGGGCTGCCTGAGAGCCATCGTCCTCTTCAACCCAGGTACATTCAAACGCTCGGCCTCATTGTCCCTGTTCGGGCGTGACTGGTGCTCTGTGCTTTTGGCTCTTTCTTGTATTGACTGTAAAATGCTACTGCAAATAACACTAGGCACCAAACAGTGAGAGCCAAGTGAGAGAGAGAGGAGAATGAGATACACGGGGGAGCTCTGGGATGGGAGTGTGTGATGCTATAAATATGCCTGTGTACACTAGCTGTGTGTTGTGTGTAACCCCCTTCCCTCTAGGGCTGGCGCATCTGAAGCCCAGAGAAACAACCATAATCACATCTTAAATCTCCCCACTCAAAAATGAAGGGACTATTTCACTGTCAGACAAAGGGGCATTTCCTCCTGGGGAGAAGGAAACGCTACACAGACTGATTTCCTGGCAGGCACAGGCTAAGGCTTAAGAAAGCACAAAAGCCAACTGATAATCACTTCTCTGGATGATTGCTCGGAGCATTTTAGTCACAGGCAGGCCCACTGACGGGGGGAGGAGAAAGGGGGCAGTTGCCCTGTGGCCTGGAGATTCAAAAGGGCCTGGGTCTGCCAGACACCACCACCGCCGTGGACAGAGGCCTAGCCCTGTAACTTGCTCCCGGAGCCCCAGGCAGCATACTCCTGGCGGCATGTAAGTGTTGGTGGGGGCAGCCACAGCCACACCCCTTGCTCTGAGGCCCTGCTCCTTCCAGGACCACAGAGATCTCCCTCTCCTCTCCCCCAACCTTGCCCATGGCCCCAGCAATTCTGTCACCCCCCCCCCCCGGTCACAAGGGTTTTCCGAATTGCATCCAATGGGCCAGATTCTCAGTGGGTGCAGCTGCATTAATCTCCATGGAGTCCTGCGCCGTTTGACAGCAGCCGCCTCCAGAAGGCAAAGTAGTTGGCGATTCCAGAAGTCGAAGCTGTTCTGCTTCCTCCAACCAGGCTCCAAAGCAGATCGGAACTCGAGAGCGACTTTGTCGCTGCCTTCTAAAAATAGGATGTTTCAAAGACAAAATCAAAATGGCAGCGGGTATTAACGACACTTGATGCCACATCATGCCCCACACGCTTGAAAAGTTGGTAACTAGATCCGTGTGCCACTCTCCTATAGCAGCTGCTGAGGGGAGTATGATACAATTCCACACGAGGCCATGATAGTTGGATTGTGAGGGAAGCAACACACACGCCCACACATACCTCACCAGACGAAGTACGTCTTATCCTTAGAATAACACCTATGCAGTTGGCGTTTTTCCGTGTTAGCTACACTCCACTACCTGCATGTTCCAGCAGGCCTCGCTGGCAGCTAGAGGTTGTTTTCTGTTTAATCACCAGTAGTTGATCGTCTCATTTGGGAATGACCTTGTCTGGCAAAACCTTGGAGAGGTTCCCGTGACGCATTGGCTGGGGGAGGCCATTGGATTGATCTCCGCTTGGGAGTCCTTTCGCCCTTCCAAAACAGGAACAAAGGCCCAACTTTGTAAAAGCATTTAAGCCATTGCTCCGCTCAGCCCTGCCGCATGTCACTGAATTAGGCACCTCAGTCTTACTGAAAGTCAATAGGGTTTAGGCACCTAAATGCCGACGTTGCTTTTGAACAGGAGATGGAAGCCTCGCGGTGCCATGCAGAGCAGCGCCTCCATAGCTTTCCCAATCAGGGCTAAGGCTGTTCTGCCCACTCTAGCACAGTTGGAGGCCATGGTATGGCATTGCCGGAGGAACCAGCCAGAGAATGCAAATGCTCCCCAAGTCCCATTGGGAGCTGCCCAGAAAATGGGCTTTCTTTTGGCCCTGCTGCAGTGGTTTGCATGTTGGAAAAACCAGCAGTCAGTGGCTTAAAGGGAGCTTATAGCTTTTTAATGAGGACTCATGATCGCTGGAGCGAACAAAAGTGCTGGATTTCAGAGGGTAGGAGTGGGCAGGAGAATCTCAGTCAGGCAAAACTAAGCCAGCCACTGACTGTGTGTCCAGCAGCCAGCGTCAGACACACAATCGCTTGAGCAAAGCTTTAGATACAGTCTCCCACAACATTCTTGCCAGCAAGTTAAGGAAATTTGGACTGGATAAATGGACTGTAAGGTGGATAGAAAACTGGCTCGATTGTTGGGTTCAACAGGTAGTGATCCACGGCCCAATGTCTGGTTGGTGGTCGGTTTCAAGCAGAGTGCCCCAAGGATCGGTTCTAGGGCAGGTTTTGTTCAGCATCTTTATTAATGGCCTGGATGGGGGGATGGATTGCAGCCTCAGCAAGTTTGCAGATGACACTAAGCAGGAGGGAGAGGTAGATACATTGGAGCATAGGGTGAGAGTCCAGAGTGACCTAGACAAATTGGAGGATTGGGACAAAAGAAATCTGATGAGGTTAAAAAAGGACAAGTGCAGAGTCCTGCACTTAAGATGGAAGAATCCCAAGTATTGTTACAGGCTGGGGACCAACTGGCTAAGCAGCAGTTTAGCAGAAAAGGACCTGGGAATTATAGTAGATGAGAAGCTGATTATAAGTCAACGGTGTGCCCTTGTTGCTAACAAGGCTAATGGTATATTAGGGTGCATTAGGAGGAGCATTGCCAGCTGATCTAGGAAAGTGATTATTCATCTTTATTCAGCACTGGTAAGGCCACAACTGTAACATTGCGTCCAGTTCTGGGACCCCCATTACAGAAAGGATGTGGACACATTAGAGAGGGTCCAGCGGAGGGCAACCAAAATGATTAGGGGGCTGGAGCACATGACTTATGAGAGGCTGAGGGATTTGGGCTTGTTTAGTCTGCAGAAGAGAAGAGTGAGGGGGGATTTGAGAGCAGCCTTCAACTTCCAGAAGGGAGGTTCCCAAGAGGATGGAGAGAGGCTGTGCTCAGTGGTGGCAGATGACAGAACGAGGAGCGATGATCTCAAGTTGCAGTGGGGGAGGTCTAGGTTGAGAGCAGCCTTCAATTACCTGAAGGGGGGGTTCCAAAGAGGACAGAGAGAGGTTGTGCTCAGTGGTGGCAGATGACAGAACGAGGAGCGATGATCTCAAGTTGCAGTGGGGGAGGTCTAGTTTGGATTTTAGAAAAAATTATTTCCCTGGGAGGGTGGGGAAGCTTGTCTGGCTCCAGGCCACACCACAAACATCCTATGGCTGGGGTGCGACGAGGAGCGATGATCTCAAGTTGCAGTGGGGAAGGTCTAGGTTGGATCTGAGAAAAAACTATTTCCCTAGGAGGGTGGGGAAGCACTGGGATGGGTTCCCTAGGGAGGGGGTGGAATCTCCATCCCTAGAGGTTTTTAAGTCCCAACTTGACAAAGCCCTGGCTGGGATGGTTTAGTTGGGATTGGTCCTGCTTTGGGCAGGGGGCTGGACTTGATGACCTCCTGAGGTCTCTTCCAGCTCTAGGAATCTATGATTCAATAACTGAGCTCTCCCAGCACCCTTCAGATCCGTAGCTACCAAAAGTTTCTGCTCTCTGCTGATAGTCCGGTGTCCCGCGCAAGATGAAATGGGTGGCCAGTTCCCCCTCTGGCATAGTGCCAAAACCACTCGCATCGCAGCCTGGGCTAACTTGTGCCCCTTGCTGGCAGCCTATAGTCCGGTGTCCCGCGCAAGATGAAATGGGTGGCCAGTTCCCCCTCTGGCATAGTGCCAAAACCACTCGCATCGCAGCCTGGGCTAACTTGTGCCCCTTGCTGGCAGCCCGCTTCTCTCTTGGCCGCCTTTCACGCCACGGTGGGGGGTCCGGGTCTTTCTAATCACAGAGAGGTCAGGGGTTAAATAAGCGTGGAGAGCAAACTCCCCCTCAGGTTTGTAGAAGGGTGGATCCCCATGCTGGGTCTGCCATGGGGATGTAACTACCATGCTAGCGCCAGCGCTGCTTGCAAATCTCTTGCAGGAGGTTCCCTGGGCTGTGGTAGAAACAGTAGCTGGCTTCCTACCTCACACAAAGAAGCAGACATGGTTGGCTGGCAAAGGCCATCTTCTCCTATTTCCACCCTGGTCCACTTCCCTAGCTCCCTCCCTTCCTCCGGGCAGCTGGGTTCCTGGGCCGCGAGGGGGACACTTACCTCCCAAACTGGGACCGATGCTCGACATTTGCCCGGCGTGAGTTCTGGTGCTTGCTGGGGAATGAAGGGCCCAGTCAGGACAGCCCTTGCCTGGTCCCTGCAGCTCACTGTGCCGTTCCCTTGGCCTGGAGAGGGGGACTCCATTGTAGGGATGAGAGAGCCATTCGGGCTCCATTTCCAGCCTGCTCTTGGCCTTTGTGCGGAGCCAGCCAACACGTCACTGCTGGGAACT